GACTCCAACCCAGAACCCTCTGGTCCTGGTTCCCCCGGGACTCCAACACAGAACCCACTGGCTGCTGCCCCTCAAACAGTCGTTTGGTGCCACCAAACGACTGTGCCAATTAGATTCCCATTTGGGCTAATTTCCTATCATCATCATCGTCATCATCATCATCATCAAAACAATAATAATATACGGTCTTCTTATTGATTAATTTTTGTCTCCAAACATTTTTCATTTCCATCGTCATTAAACTCCTCCACTGTATTTGCATAAAAATGTGCAAAAACGTAGTTAATGCATGATGATACATCCTCAATATCACATCTTATCTTATTTGAAAGTACAAAAACTAAGACTAAATTAACTTTTATCAAATTACTAGTAAAGTTAAACTACTCAGTTCAGAATTATATAATTAATCAGACTACTAAAACAACATCTACTGACTGTTTATTCATTCAACGTAATTCCGAGCAACGCTTGCACGCATCACTATTATTATCATTTGACATATTTATTGATTCATTGCACGTGTTCCATCGGTCTTATTTTCTCGTCCACGCGCCTCTATTTGCAGAAAATCCAACTTCCGCTTTACCCGGAAGTGAGCACAATTCCCAAAGATGGCGGAACAAGGTCCGATGGCCATAGCGATGCGGCTACGAAACCAGCTCCAGTCCGTTTACAAACTAGACCCGCTGCGGAATGAGGTGAGTAACCGAGCTCCTCGGGCTCGTTTGCCGTGGAGGAAGGCGTCCGCGGAGGGGGAGTCCTTACCGGGCCGGTTAACCCGGACCCGTAAGGGGGGAAACGCTGGTTTCTCCGCGGAACTGATGGTGAGAAACGGACAGCGATGCTGAATTCGCGGGGGGAGACGTGTCTGAGCATGCGTGAACCGAGCCGTTGTGCGGGGCAACGTGCGCGGACGGAGCCCCTCAACTCAAGTGTTCCGCCGTAATTTCACCCGGTTTCTGGACCCGGGGGTCCCGCTTTGGCTGAGTTCGTTTGGGAGTTTACTTGTGAGACAAACATCATGTGAGTGAGGGGAGGTGAGGCGGCAACGGTCGCTTCTCCCCCCGGTTACCGGGTAGCGAATCACCGGTGGCCCGTTTCAGTCCGGTCGGTCTGGGTTTGGGTTTGAAATGTGCCGGTTCGTCGCTAAGGGAACCATTGGTGGCGGTTGGGGCCGTTGGTGACGGTTGGGCTCGTTAGCGCCAAACGGTCCGGATTCCACTCCACGCGCGTGTTGTTTAGTTATCATTAGCCCTTTAAATGCTGCTTTTTTCTCTATTCGAGAAGGTTTATTACTTTTGAACGCGATAAAACTTTGTTTTGTAAAGTTTGGGCGTCCATTTTTTTCTCCGTTGGGGGTCAAAGGTCAGGGTCAGCACCTGCACGATGGTGTCTTTTTTCGACCGGACTCAGGATGAAGGACACATTTCCAGCTTTAGTAGCCTTCTGCTACCAAAAAAAGCTGAATTAATGTGTTTTATGCTTTTCCCCATTCACCCATTCATCTGTAAAGTCTTCACAATGCAAACAACATAACTTCTCTTCCTTTAAGACGATGCCAATAGACTTTTCCATTAGTTTTCCATCTTTTTATGCACTATGCATGGCCTCAAATCACAAACCTTGCAATTAATAATGAATTAACTCAAGATAACAATCAATCAACAGCATATTTCCAAGTTTTTGCCTTAAGCTGACATGAAGCTTTTAGGTTGTTAATTTTGTGCTTCGTTTTCTGACAGGAGGAAGTGAAGTTGAAGATCAAGGACCTGAATGAACACATCGTCTGCTACCTCTGTGCTGGCTACTTTATAGATGCTACTACTATTACGGAGTGTCTTCACACCTGTAAGTTCCCGATATTACACACATATGTGGCTGGCGTTCGTCGGGTTAACCAGACAAAAATGTTTGACTCTTTTTCCTCAACAGTTTGTAAAAGTTGTATTGTGAAGTACCTGCAAACCAGCAAATATTGTCCCATGTGCAACATCAAAATTCACGAAACCCAGCCCTTACTTAACCTCAAACTGGATCGAGTCATGCAAGATATTGTCTACAAACTGGTGCCTGGACTACAAGAAAGTAAGCTCTGCCCTGTTGGTTATCTGACTTTAGTGTCACTATAAAATCTATGTTTAGCAACTGTAATTACTGTAGAAGATTAACACCATTTTAATTGAATAAAGACAGAAAGATAGTTGATTTGATTCCCTTAATCCCATGACATGTTTTTAAGTCCTGTATGTGTTTTTGCTCAGGTGAAGACAAAAGAATAAAGGAGTTTTATCAGTCGAGAGGGTTAGAACGAGTCATCCAGCCTGCAGGAGACGGTACGTTGGGATTTGTCCTTATTCTCTGCCGTACTTTTCTTCTAACTGTTATAAAGTAAAGAATAAAGTGAGCGAGTGGCCATCTTTTACGTGTGCTGTAGGCATGTGCTTATTCTGAGGTTTATCATGAAGTTTTCCTCTCTCATAAGCTTCTTTTCTCTTTATTTTTAACAGTCAGAAGTGTCATGTTGTGTGTTTTGTTTCTCCTCAGACATCTCGGACGCAGCAGGTTTACCGTACACGAGCTTTGACCACTCAAAAGCCCACTTCTACAGATATGACGAGCAGGTTTCGCTCTGTTTAGAAAGGCTAAGGTAAGCTGCCCGTCTGTTTTATCCTCATGTGATTTGTGTACACTTTCATGGCGTGTGTGCAGTGCGACATGAATCTTCATAATGCTCCATAATGCCTCCTTTTCAGTGCTCTCTTCTGGTTTGTCTTAACAGTTCAACTCTAGCTGGGAAAGATAAGACAAAACTCGCTCTTCAGGTATGCTTTATCGATATGATGTGCACTTTATGTTGTGGATCTGGGGGCTTTTTTATGCTGTTAAACTGATTTTTAGATGCTTTCAGAGCATCAAGGGTTTTTACAAGGAGGGAACAGTGTCTACAAGACACATTTTATACTCTAATTGAAGTATTTCTGCTGAGACTGTTTGGTAAATACATGGTGACAGCTGCAGAACCAGCAGAATTCAGCACTCAGGGCTGCTTAGTCTGGATGATGGAGGGGGCTCATACAGACTAAGAGACACGGCAAGTGGGAGAAAATCAGTCTTTATCTCTCCGTTAAGCCACCACTCTCCTCCTAAGCGGGTTGTAGAATTGAGAAAATGGCAAGCCTCCAGAGAGCTGCACTGTTCCACCTGTGGGACCATTTGGACTTTATGTGGGGAAGCATTGCTCTGGTTAACTCATTGACTGGCAGCCATTTTCAGAACAGAGTCCCATACTGCCAGAGTTTTTTGAGCATTTTGACTGATTTTTCAAGAGCCACAGAATAGTTTGTGCTATGACTATGTAAACACCGAACACACCAAAAGAAAGAGTAGACTCTCTTCTTTCACCAGGAAAAAAAAAAAGTGTTTCTACCTTATTCCGTTCTTCCTGGACTTGCGTCTCACCGGCGACATGTTCTCTCATAGCGAACCGTTACCTTTTTGTTATTTGCCTACAGTCTATGCTCATCTCCCATCAAAAGTGGCACTGCCCCCTAGAGGGTCAATTTGTTACTACATACTCTGTCTAGAAGCCTGATATTTACGGACAAGCTTTAGCAGATCGTCCCCCAGACACTCTCGTTAAAAACATAAAAGACGTCTATAGACGTCTTTGGCAGCCAATGAGTTAATCCCATCTAGAGAAGGCAGCTCAGACCGTACCTCTGAGGGGCCAATCTGACCCAGCACTCCTCCACATATTTTGGATTTATTTATTATTTCTGGTGCCCTGTGTGGAGTACAGTGTGAACAGTAAAACCCATCTCAGCACCACCTCGACTGGTTCTGTACTCCCATGCAGAAACTCTGCTTATTTCTCAGAGAGATTTATCCACTGGCTGTTAAAAGAAAGGCCTGAAACAGTTCTATGTGTGAATAATGAAGCCATGCAAATGCTTTTTAATAAAAGGTGGATTTATCTATATTATTCTAACCGGAGTGGATTGATCCCACTCTGGTTTAGAGGGGAAATATCCAAACTCTTAGTGGAAAACTGTCTGAGGGTCAACAACACTTCAGGGTTTAAGCCTCAGTTAGGGCTGATTCTGCCCACCAGGAGGGATCCTGTCTGCAGGAAAGCGGTGAGCCGTGTGGAGCTGAACTGGATCACACAGTGGAAAATGCTCTATAATTACCACACGACTCTCCTGGAAGCAGCTCTTTAGCGTCCTGGCTGGAAAAATGTTTTTCTTCTGGCTTTATATCGCCCAGATTTCAGTGCCTCGGTGGCCGGTCAGTGGCTGGAAAAGCTCACGGGGGTGTTTTCTAATGGAGCGGATGCTTCAGAAACCTTTTAACCAAAGGAGAAGCGCTGTCTCCCGACTTTAAAAGGATATTGTCAGGCGCAGTGACGCTGTTTGTCCAGTAGAGGGCGCCCCCGTTTAACCCCTGAGGACCTGTTCTCCCACCCAGAACCAGCATCCTCCCGGGTTTCAGGGTTCCCACCCAGTGTGGCCAGTTGTGGTCCAGTCTGTCCTCAGGAGAGGTGTCAGCCTCATCCAGGGGCTTTGATATGCCGGTTTTACAGTTTGTGAGGAATATTCAGAACCCAGTAACAGTGTTAGAGGGTGGAAATAAAATGCTTTGTGGTTTGCCTTGAGCAACGGGGACCAGCAGCTCCCTGCTCCACACCCTCTGTGTGGGTTATTTTTCTCTCTACCCTATCTGTGACCTCATAAATCGGATTAGATTCTGATGGGAACCCTCGTAAATCCACAGAAACGAACCGTGTTCCCGGGGTGTGGTTGATTGGTCCGCGGAGGCCTCTGCCCAGCAGATCCAAACATACTGACTGTTTGGTTTTTAACTGAGGTGTAAATTCCTTTTGAACAAATCTCTGCCAGTGCATTGAAATAAATACCAAAGGCTTATTTTGTATTATATTGTAGGCGTGGGGTGTTAGAGTGTAAAAACTCTGTTGGGAGCAGGAAGGATCCAGCAGGAAGTGGGTCTTACTCCACTGTAACCCGCCTCAAATCTGAGTCTAAGTTTAAATTTTTACAAAAGATTAAAAACATTTAGATAAGGTATCTCTCAAAGTAAGAAAGCTCTGATTTATTGGAGTAAACAGGAGCCATGTAAAGTTTGGATTTTTTCAAATCCGTCTTTGACACAAAGTCCAGACTTCCAAACAGTTCCTCTGTACAGTGACTCGTTATACAGTGGGGGAAATAAGTATTTGACCCCTTGCTGATTTTGCAGGTTTGCCCACTTACAAAGAATGCAACGATCTATAACTTTAATCATATGTACATTCTAACAGTGAAAGACAGAATCCCAAAGAAAATTCCAGAAACCTGCAAAATCAGCAAGGGGTCAAATACTTATTTCCCCCACTGTGGGTGGTACCACATGGATAACGGCTCTCCTTTGGGTTGGGAGGTGACTGGATTTGGGCCGCTGGTCCTTCCTGAATGGCCGCCCGGTTAGTGTCTTGTGTTTCGACCCGGTTTGACTTGCTCTGGCCTCCCGTTTTGTGTGCAGCAGAAGTTCGTCCGCTGCTCGGTGCGGGCGGAGGTGCGGCATCTCCGGAAGGTGCTCTGCCACCGGCTGAACGTGGAGAAACACCAGGTCAGTCCACATTAGGGGAACCTTTAGCTCACGGGTCTCAAACTCCACTCCTCGAGGGCCGCAGTCCTGCAGGTTTTAGATTTTTTTTTCCTGCTTCTGCACGCTTGATTCGGATTAAATTGGATCTCCTCTGGACATTGCTGAGCTTTGGTAATGGCTCTGTGATGTGAATCAGGTGTGTTGAATCAGGGAAACCTCTAAAAAAAACCTCTAAAACCTGCAGGACAGCGGCCCAAAGAGGACTGGAGTTTGAGACCCCTGCTTTAGCTTCTGGTGAGGGGGTTCTGAGTCTAAC